TGTGTGTGTGTGTGTGTGTGTGTGTGTGTGTGTGTGTGTGTGTGTGTGTGTGTGTGTGTGTGTGTGTGTGTGTGTGTGTGTGTGTGTGTGTGTGTGTGTGTGTGTGTGTGTGTGTGTGTGTGTGTGTGTGTGTGTGTGTGTGTGTGTGTGTGTGTGTGTGTGTGTGTGTGTGTGTGTGTGTGTGTGTGTGTGTAACGAATAAGAGAGAAAAAGGAAGAGAAAAGAGAGGGAAAAAAAAAGGAAAAGGAAGAAGAAGAAGAGGAAAAAAAAATAAAAATTTCACCAACTTGTTAGAAAATAAGTTCTTATACTATTAGGCTTGAATTTTTCAAAGTTAAAGGTAAGTAAAAAGTTACTTATTGAAAGGTTATTAATTCTATAATTGTTAGATTGCTAGATTAAATTCAATTTTATTAAAGGGGTTGAGTATAATAAGCTATGAAATTGAGTTAAATGAGAGAAAAACTAATTTTAGTTATTAAAGATATTTTAGAAATCGTCAAAACATGAAATAATTAAATTTGGTAATCGCCTATTTAATTATTAAAATTACTCATAATAGCTAATTGTTTATTTAAAAATTATATCATATTTCAGACGGCGATACGGATATTGAGACAGTTTACCAGTCGAGTTGATTTTGACGTATATAGTTCTGTAAGTGGAAAAATATAAATATTTTTAAAGTATTATAAATTAAGTATATTATCAAAATATGTGCAATTATATGCTCTATTATATGATTATTATGAAAATCTCTTTTATTATGATACATATGGAATCTCAAAGATTATTTATGGTATATTTGTGACTTGGTATGTAAGACATGTGATAATGGGATTTGTTTAGTATGTGAGACACGTAATATTGAGATCGGCCAGAAAAGTATCCATGATTATATTTTCTTTTAGTTCACTGAGGGGCCTTGGTCATGTTCTATACTACACTGAGAAGTCTTGGATCGGGGATAAAGGGGTCTCGACTGTGTACATATAGTTCACTGAGGGGTCTTGACCGTATTCTAGAATTGATTATGAGAAGTTTTTGACACCGACTTTCGTTCAAGGAGGCGGCCAACTACCCGTGGAAAAAGTTCTTAGATTGAGGGGCGGATTATATATTTTAATCAGAGGGTACATTTTTGATGGATTTTTCAACATGTTTGATATGATGAGATTATAGCATGGTTATCAATTGATGTTCATATCATGATTTTAAGATGATATTTTACGGCCTTATGTGAATATTTTACTTTTTGGCTATAATTACAAGATGGTAGCTTGTGAATTATCAAATTATATAAATTTGATTTTCAATAAAAATGTATAAATAAAAAAGTATATTTACCTTGATAGTGGGTCCGATTTTTAGTTGATATGTATCATCGGCACATGCCACGTCCGAGTCCAGAAGTATTACACAGCGTGGGGTGTGTCAATATATAGGTAACTTTAGGCAATTATATCAAAGTTTTCAAAGAAACAATATTAATGTTATTAAAATGTCAAATCTTACAATTCGACTGTGAATAATCAGAACGTGTCTAGTACAGAAGATGTAGAGGAAAAAAATTTAAAAAAAAATAAATAAATAAGATGGCCCTAGGATTTTCAATTGGAGGAGTTTCTCACCAACCCTTGCATAAATTGAGGAGTTTCTCACCAACCTTTGCCTAAGAGCCATAACCAATCAAGTGTTATCCTTGTGAATATACCTCCTACAAGAAACATTACCAGTGAAAAATTCATCAACTAAGGTTATATTGAACCCAGCAACTATACATGCAGAAACTCAGAAATAAAGGGCAAAATTTGATGAAGAAGAAGAAGAACTTTCATTACTTAAAACTTGAGAACTTTGTAAGTTACATTCAACTATTTATAGACATACCAACTGGATCAACTAATTGACAAACTAACTTTCTAACTAACAAAACTAACTAATTAACTGAGTTAACTGAATTTTCAGCTTCTTCTTTTGGTTTCAGGTTTGATTTTGCTGTATTGTAAGAGCCCACCTCAGGAGGGGCATGGATGTTCAAAATGCCCATCTTGAAGATATGGTTGTGAAACACGACTAAGCCAAGGGGTTTAGTGAAAACATCTGCTAGTTGGTGGTGAGACGGAACATAAATGATCTTGATTAACCCAGAATGTAACTTTTCACGAACGAGATGGCAGTAAATTTGAATGTGTTTGGTCTTTTCATGATGGACAGGGTTTGTAGCAATTGAAAGAGCTAATTTACTATTTGTGCATAAGCGTGCAAGCTGAGGATGAGTGATAGCCAAATCATGTAGAAGATAAAGTAACCATTAGAGTTCACAAGTTGTGGATGCTAAAGCTTTATACTCAACTTCAGCTGAAGATCTGCTACCAGAGGTTTTCTTCTTGGATTTCCAGGAGACTAAGGATTCTTCAAGAAAAATGGCAATACCAGTAACACTTCGTCTAGTGTCAATGTAGCCCGCGCAATCATTGTCACTGTAAGCTTTTGAGGTGTAAATCTGATTTGGCGGAAAAGAATAAGCGTTGACTTGGTATGGTTTTAATGTATCTAAGAACTCTATAAGCAGCATTTAGATGAGATTGAGCTGGTTTGGACATGAATTGACTAAGAACTTGTACAGAGTAAGCCAAGTCAGGTCTTGTAATGGTGAGATAAATTAATCTACCAATGAGCCTTCTATAGACTGATGGATAAGCGATGAGGTTTGCTTCATATGATTTGAGCTTGAGAGTAGATTCCATCGAAAATGTCACTGGTTTGCAACCAATGAAGCCAAAGTCTTCAAGGATGTCTAAGGCATATTTTCGTTAATAGATGCTAATTCCATGCTTTGATCTAGCAACCTCCAAACCAAGAATGTATTTTAATTCACCAAGATCTTTGATTGTGAACTGATTATCCAAAAAATGCTTGAGCACCTGTTTTTCATGAAGATTGTTGCTAGTAAGAAAGATGTCATCAACATAAACCAAGAGGACAAGGAAAGAATCAATGGTAGACTTTAGGAATAAAGACGAATCAGACTTGGACTGGAGAAAACCATATGAGATAAGGCTAGAAGTAAGTTTAGCAAACCATTGGTGAGATGCTTGTTTAAAAGCACATAGGCTTTTATTTAGTTTACAGACAAATGAGGGATCAGGACTGGGATAGCCTTGAGGTAGTTCCATGTAGACTTCCTCATGTAAATCATCATGAAGGAAAGCATTGTTAACATCTAATTGGTGCAAAAACCAATTGTTCATTGGTGCAATAGCCAATAGAACCTGAACAAAGGTCAATTTTGCAATAGGAAGGTGTCAAAAAATACAGGCCTTCTTGTTGAATGTATCCTTTAGCAACTAACCGTGCCTTGTATCTTTCCACAATACCATCTGCTTTGAATTTTACTTTGTAAACCCATTTACAACCAATGGTGTTTTTATCAGGTGGCAGATGAGTGAGGGTCCAAGTACTATTCTTTTCAAGAGCTTGAATCTCACAATTCATGGCAACCTGCCAGTGTGGAAATCTAATAGCTTGGCTATAATACCTAGGTTCAAAAATATTTGAAATGGATGTAACAAATAGCTTGTGTTTCGGGGAAAAGTCTATCAGTAGAGATAAAATGAGAAAGAGAGAGGTTTATCTGAAGTAGATGGACTAGCCAGCATTATGGAAGACTGGATTGCATTGGAAGAAGAAGGTAGATCACAATGATAGTCATTCGGATAGGATGGTATATGCTTTGTTTTGCTAGATTTTCTGGAAGGAGGTTCAAGAGCAAGTAAATCATTAGTTTGTGAAGAAATAGGGAAAGCATGATCAAGCACTGGATCAATATTGACTTGGGTTTGGCTACTGCTGGTTTCTGCTCATTGGTTTATTGATGGTGTATGAGGATAGGAATAATCAAAGTATGGTTCAGGTATAGGAAATATGTGAGGATTAGCAAGTTGGTGGGGTGAGGAGTTTTTATCAGGAGAGGAAGATTCATGAAAGATGACATTTCTACTAAAAAAAGGTTCTATGATTTTGTAAATCATATACCTTGTATCCTTTGTATCCAAGATGATAACCAAGGAATATGCACCTAGGTGCATAAGGAGAGAACTTAGTTCTATGATTATTGAGTGTGCTGGTGAAGCATAAGCAACCAAATGTTTTGAGGTGATCATAGTTTGGTGGCTTTTGGAAGAACAGCTCATAAGGGGTTTTGTTGTCAAGAATTGGAGATGGTATCCGGTTAATGATATGAACTGTTGTGAGTATGCAGTCACTTCAGAAGATGAGAGGAACATTCGACTGAAAAAGAAGGGCCTTAGCTACTTGTAGGATGTATTGGTGCTTTCGCTCTACAATTCCATTTTGTTGTGGTGATTCAACACAACTTTTCTGATGTAGGATTCCATGAGAGTTATAGAATTCTGGCATGAAGAACTCAGTACCATTGTCAGTTCTAAAGGTCTTTATTTTGGTATTAAACTGTGCAATGACCATTTGATAGAAGTTCTTTATGTGGCTATGAGTTTCAGACTTGGATTGCATCATGAAAACCCAAGTGCATCTAGAATAATCGTCAACTATAGTGGGGGAAAATCTGTAACCATTAAAAGAAGGCACATGGAAAGGACCCCAAATATCACAATGCACTAAATCAAATATTTTATTTGATACTAAATTACTAATCGGAAATGGTAACTTTTCCTGCTTTGCTAAGGGACAAATTTCACATTTATGTAAATTGTTACAAGGAATATAAGAAGAAATGCATGGGATCTTGGACATTCTGGTGCTGGAAATGTGTCCAATTCTGCAATGCCAGATATTGTAATTGAATTGAGTTGAGACACGTGCTGTCGGATTGCTGGTAACAGGTAGAGGTTCAGTTGTGTCTGGAGCTATCATGCAGTGATATAGGCCATCTTTTTCTTTAGCAAAACTCGTCATCTTCATGCTAGCCAGATCCTGTATAAGACAATGGGAGGCAGAGAAAATTACATGGATGTTGAAAAATTTTAGTTAGTTTAGAGACTGATATCAAATTGAATGAGAAAGATGGCACATACAAGCATTTTTAAGAATAAGACTATCAGAGATTTTCACTTTTCCAATATGGTTGACTGGGACATAAGGACCATTTGGTAAGTGAACTAGGTGGTTTTGGCTGAGTCAATAGAGGTAAAGAATGTAGGTGAACATACCATATGGTCTATTGCACCTATGTCAATTAACCAGGTAATGGTTTTTGGTTTAGAATAAGTTGAATTATAGAAAGAAATACCTATGGTGATGGTGGCTGCTGTTTGAGGTGATGTATTAGTTGATTCATGGAATATTTGTCGAGTCTTAGGAAATGCCAAGAATTGTTGAAAGAGATCTAGATTGAATGAAATGTTTGGTCCCTCATCTTCTGTAGACTGGTCCAGGCTTATAGCATAAGCAGCAGAGGTATCAACCAAGGTTTTTAGACCTCTCAATCCCCTCCAGCCAGGAGGATATCCTATGAGATGAAAGCATTTATCAGCAATGTGATTGGGGTATCCACAATGGGTACATTTCGGCTTCTTCTTGTCCATCCAAGAGAGAGGTTTATTAAATGTTCTATGAGGTTGTCTTGTCATCATATCTGTTGATTTGCGGGTGAGTAATTCTACAGGTGTAATACTTTAAGTAATAAAAAAGGAAAGTCAACAAAAGGTTTGGTCAAAACTTAAAGATTTAAAAAAAACAATAAAATAATCATGATAGAAGGCAGTGGATTAGGATAGATATCCACCATAATTCATTACAAATCAAATCCATTTCATTTCACACATACAAAGAGAGAGAAACGAAGCAGGGAAAGAAAAGAAAGAGAAAGAAAGAAGGAAAAAAAAGAAGAAGAGAAAGAAAAAAGAAAAAAATTAGAAAAATTTTGCTAAGTTGTTAGAAAATAAGTGGTTCACACTATTAGGCTTGAATTTCTCAATTTTGAAAGATAAGTAAAAAGTTACTTATTGTCAAGTTATATTTAATTTTATAGTTGTTAGATTAAATTCAATTTTGTTGAAGAGATTAAGTATAATAAGTTATGAAATTGAGTAAAATGAAAGAAAAACTAGTTTTAATGATTAAAGAGACTCTAGAAATCGCTTAAACATGAAATGATTAAATTTGGGTATCGCCTATTCAATTATTAAAATTACTTAAAATAATTAATTGTTTATTTAAAAATTATATCATATTTTAGGCAGCGATACGGATATTGGGATAGCTTACCAATCGAGTTGATTTGCGAAACATAGTCCTGTGAGTGGAAAAATATAAATATTTTTAAAGTATTTATAAATTAAGTATATTATCAAAGTATGTGCAATTATGTGTTCGATTATATGATTATTATGAAAATATCTTTTATTATGATACATGAGGAATCTCAAAGATTATTTATGGCACATTTATAACTTGGTATGTAAGACGTGATATTGAGATTTGTTTGGTATGTGAGACATGTAATATTGAAATCGGCCAAAAAAGTACCCATGATTTTATACTTCTTTTAATTCACAAAGGGGTATTGGCCCTGCTCTATCCTATACTGTGGAATTTTGACCTGACATTGGTCTTGATTGTGTACATATAGTTTACAGAGGGGTATTGACCGTGTTGTAGAATTAATTACCAGAGGTCTTGAGATTGACTTTCAATCAAGGAGGGGGCCAAAGGCCCATGGGGAAAGTTCTTAGCCCGAGGGGCGAATTGCAGATTTTAGTCAAAGGGTACATTTTTGGTGAATTTTTCAGTACATTTGATGTGATGTGATGTGATTATAGCATGATTACCAACTTATGTCTATATCATGACTTGAGATGATATTTTACCACGTTATGTGAATGTCTTACGTTTTGGCTATAATTATATGATATTATCTTGCGAGTTACTCAATGATATGAGCTCAATTTCCGATAAAAATATAAAATTGAAAAAGTATAATTATTTTCGAACTTCTCCACTCACTGAGCTATCAACTCATATATTTTTTCCTAATTTTTCCTACAGGTAACAATTGATTCTTTTTAGTTGGAAGAGCCTCGTGATTTCGAAATAAGAGCCACACGATATGTTGAATGTTATAACTCATATTGATGAAGTATGAAGTAAATAATTTGGACCCATCGCATTATGTTTTACATAAGCATTTGATTTTGATGTATTTTTTGAAGTAACGCATAGTCAGCCTTGGTGATAAATTAGATATTTAGTCAACATCTATTATCTGCGCACACTACATTTCAAGTCCACTAGGGTGATTCGGGACGGATTGTGTCAGTAGGTCCCTTTAACTCGCTTCTTGAAGCATAAGGGCATAAACTCGAGCCAATGATGAAAGTGGAGAAGTAAGCAGCAGTTGGCTTCATAGTACAGAATAGGATTCATTTAATCCAACAAGAAACTTCATGACAACATCTGATTGCTAAGTGTTTAATATATTCTTCAATATATCACAAATGCAATTGGAAAGCATCACATAATTACACTTAGGCAGAGGTCTGTAGCTGATATATTCTTCCCAAATAACTTTGAATGAGTCGTTATACATAGTGAGACTTTGTGATCCTTGAGAAATGGAGATTAGGCATTTCTCTAGATGGTATACTCTAGGTCCGTCACTTTGAATGTACTTGATTTTGAGTTCATTCCATACTTCATATGCAGAGGAAGTGTATAACAGACTTTGGCGAATATCTTTGCTGATCAAATTCAATAGCCAAGATAAAACCAGATCACTCTTTCGAACCCAACAATTATGCGTAACACCAGATGATGGACTTGGGGATTTCAGGGATCCATCAATGAAGCCTAATTTATTTTTCACACTGAAAGCCATGGAAATTGAGTGGCTCCAGAAGGTGTAATTGTCTCCATTGAAGATTTCAGAAACAATTAGTGCACCAGGATTCTTACTAGGATATAGATAATAATGACTGGTTGGATAATCAGCAGGATTGAAAAGAGTATTGATTGAGCTTGACATGCTTTAAGTGAATTGTTGATGAATAAAAGGAAGAATTTGTGATAGCTCAAATACTATGAAAAATTCATGAACTTAGGTTACATTGAACCCAACAACTATACATGCAGAAACTCAGAAATAAAGGGAAAAATCTGATGAAGAAGAAGAAGAAGAAGAAGAAGAATAACTTTCATTACTTAGAATTTGAGAACTTTGTGAGTTACATTCAACTATTTATGAACAAACCAGCTGGATACTAATTGACAAACTAACTTTCTAACTGACTAACTAACAGAACTAACTAATTAACTGAGTTAACTGAATTTTCAACTTCTTCTACTGGTTTTCGGTTTGCTTCTGCTATATTGTAAGAACCAATATATTCCCCAAGGCATTCTGTTCAAGTACCGACAAAACCAGTATTCCATAAATTTTAGTTAGAGGTCGTCAAATTTGAAAAGAATTAAAAATAATTGTATGTCTGATCTTATAACCTTCTGGAGCAAATGTAAGGACACAGACTGTAAGAAAACCATGACTTATAACGTGCAAAGTGCGAACCCGTGCGACTCCAAAGTCTAATCACTGATTCACCATATTTTGAAAGAAGAAGAAGAAGAACATATTGAAGAAGCAATATTTGGTAATCAATCTCTCTTTCTTAATCTTATATTTGTGTTTTGATAGTTATTTATTCAAATGGCAAGATTAGATATGGTGGTTGGATTCAAAAACTGTGTGAATGGATTCTGATCGCTGTAGCATCCAGACTATAATTTAAGATGTATTGTGTCCTTGTTTGTCATTATCTTTTTTTATGCTGATGGTTTGAAAAAGTTATAAACTGATTCTCTCATAAGATTGTGATAGATTTATCTTCTTTTTAGAATAGCAAGTTTCTTCAGTAGAGCTAAATAATGGCTAAAATACAATATTGTGTTAGATTCAGTGGATGAATTTTGAATCCGTAACATTTGATGGTTTCCAATAGTGTATCCTTTTTCTGTTAGATTCAGATTTTGTCTAATTATAAGGCCCATAATAATTTTCCATATTGCCTACCCTTTTTGTTGCAATTCAAAACAAGGACCCAAGATTAGATTCGGAGTTTTTGAAGAGACAGAGAAATTTCGACAATTTGAATCGATATTTCTAAATTTAGCTTTTCGTTGTCAAATTGTTAAGCTTAATTAGAAGTTTTATTTCTTTCAATTCTTGATGTTCAACTTTTAACTTTGCTATTTGCAATCTCAATTCTTGATATTCATCTCTTAACTTTCCATTTCACTGTTGGTATATTTATGAAAGCTTTGATTTGTAGGAATGTATGTTGAGATATTTTAAACGAATATCTCAAGTTTCTATTGAAGAAAATGTTGAGGGAAAGAAACAACGAATTGAGGAAATTTCTATTGAAGATATGTCCGAGGCAAATGTAGCAAGTGTTGAGGATATGCTACTGCTGGAGAAAATGATGAAGCAAAGGAAGCAAGTATTGATGAAACTAATTTTCAAGAAAATGATGAGGTAAAGAAAGTAAGTATTAAGCATATTGATGTTGTACAACTTCCCACGGATCCCGGATTAAGAACTATAATAATGGATTACAATTTAATCTTCGAGATCAAATAAGAAGTGTATACTTATAGAGAGATCCGTGTCAGCCTCAGATTCATGTGTTTCCACATGAAAAATCAAGGCAATTCATTCCTTCTTGGTTCAATGAATATAGTGATTGGTTAGAATATAGTATACGTATACTGTTATATTTTCGGAAGGAACAATAGGGAACAAGGAAGTGGTGATGCTTTAAAAGAACGATTCCATACTTACAGTCGAAGTTTCTCCAATGCATAATCTATATTCTGGAATAGCAATTCTTTCTTGGTCATTCGCTCGAAATCATTTGGATCTTGCTCAGTCTGAAACAACATCAGTAGTAGACATAGTTCATATTATAAATAAATTGATTTATATTGATTATACAAGGTAGAAGAGTTGTACTTCTCCTAGTTATGTATCGATTTACCCAACGGCAAGGTCCTGACACAGTCTTTGATCCCTCTGAAGTAGCTTCTGAGTGGTAATACTTCACAATAGGATAGACGTGTATAAAGTGATGTGCACCAAACCTCGTAAATTTACAAAGGGAAGCATCACTTGCTGTCGTTAGCCTCTCGCCCGAATTGAGTGTCAAAATTTTAACAAAAATTTTTCGCCCACCTATTACTCGAGCGACAGCCCCGTTGCTCAAGCGATAGGTGAGCAACGTAGTCAGGGAAAATTCAAGCCAATTTTTCCTCCATTTTTTTAAATTTTGGACCGTAATTTCTCATTCATCCGGAATTAGTTTCAAGATTCCAAATATACAACGATAATCTAATCGACGAGTAGAACAAGATAGTGTATTTACATTTGTAATTTGACTATTGGATCAAGTACGAATATTTGACCAAAGTTGACATTAAAGTCACTTTTTTCACTTTTATACTCAACCAATTTTCTCAATTTTAAACCAATTTCCTACAAGAGGCGCCCATTTCCCAGAAGCCAACACACCACAATAGCACCGTATTTTCCCCTACAAGAGGCAGATAACATATTGAGATTTTATTCTTGGTTAGGCGTGCCGTTTGCTTTTCAAATATATTCCTGCAGATAATTCACAATTTTAACATTGAAAAACCACTAATATTCTGTATCACATCATATAATGATCACTGCACAACAGCCAAATATTTGAAAAAATACGAACATCATAGCTCCAAAAAAATAAAAATAAAACATAAGTATAATGCATCATGTTCCTTGTTATTTGAAGATATATTCTTTATTAGCATTAGTACTCCTCAAAACACATTACACCCATAAACAGGTGAATACAATTATGGTATATTCAGAAAGAATTCTCTTCGAGTACCTAAAAGAGTCCATAATTATTGCTTCAAAATTAGCCAAAAATATATAATATATAATACACTATAAAACATCTCTAAATCACACAAGAAATCATTTGATCACTCTTAAATCTCTGATTTCACGTGAGATTCTGAATCCCCGTTTATACATGATTTCATCCTGCCAATACAGAGTAAATTTGTTTTAGGAAAGATTGACCTCGGGCCTTGAGTATTTCTTAATTTTGTTGCATTTTTAAATATTCCCAGCCATATATATGATTTTTTATATCTAAGTTCTTGACCTGTATTTGATTGGAACAATTTGAAGCTTTTTCTATTTTATGATCAGCAAGTTTAGCTCGACAGATTCTCGCGGTTAGTACTTTGAATACTCAACGTGCATTACCTCAATCATCACAGAAGTTCGTTCGAAACCTCAAATTGATCCTTGAAGTATTTTTCTGACCCAATCAATAACTAAAGTCATTAAAGATCTCACAGTTAGTCACTCTAATATTACTAGCTAAAATGGACTAACCGTCATGGGTCAAAATGCCTTCCTTTTTGTAACTCACACACTACAAATTCTTATATTTATATTGATGATCTTATAATCACAGTTAATGAACAAACTCCATTAATGAATTTATTTCTCAGCTTGGTTCTCGATTTTCTGTCAAGGACCCTGGCAATAATTGAGTGATGAATATAATATTTTTCCAAAGCACAAGGACCAATTATCTACCTATATTAATTTAATTGAAGAACTATAGTTCTAATTAAAAAAACACACACAGTAAATATTAGGTTTTTATTCAAATTATATCTAATTATCTAACAAACTAAACAATTAAGAATAATCGTGCAAGTTCTTGAGATTAATCAAAATGTAAAGAGCACTTGAATCACAAATTCGTCATATTAACCTACTTTAACCCTCAATTACCACTTTTTAGTCAATTTTTTGTTTTATTGACAACCGATATTCATTATGTGTCAATTTTCTCTCTTGAAATAAATTAAATCATTGTTTACATAAAAGGATCCGTTTGATTGCAAGAACAGAATTTGGGTAGAAAGAAAATGAATTGTAGGGAATTGAATTGTCTAGAACTTATTTTCCTGAGAATTGTCAATTAATGTATTTGATTATTATAATTTTCACCTGGAAAATATTGAAATTTTCTATCTTTTAGTGCTTATTTGACTTTGTTTTTCATGAAAATTGTTAATTAAAGGGACAAAATCTGTTCCAATTGCCCAAAAATAAAATAAAAAAAAGGTGAAAAATCAAGGAAATTGCACATGTGCGGAAGAAAGAAGGAAAACAAATTGTCAAAAAAATAATTTCCATCAAACATGCCAAAAATTGAAAAATGGAAAATATGTCAAATCAAATAGGCCCTAAAATCACTATGATGAATGTGATTACATAAAAAATGTAATATAAAACTAGAATATCACAAAAGATTACACTATTCATAGAATTCTCTATCTCCCATAAGACTTAGGCACTGTTTGAGAGGAAATCCCCCCAATGGTCACCGAACTTTGCCCATTTTCCCTAGAAAGTTATCGAATTTCACTTTATCCCTAAATGGCCACTGAACTTTGCCAAAATTCCCTAGGAGGTCACACCGAACTTCACGTCATCCCTAGATGGTCACCGAACTTTGCAAAAGGCCCCTGGGAGCTCACTGAACTTGTTATACATGGGGTCCCATTTTGCAAAAGTTGAGTGATCTCTTAGAGAATTTCAACAAAGTATTTCTCACTTTTTGACATGTCTGATGGTAGAAATTTTCCATAGAAAACATTTTCCATAAA